AGGGAGGTGTATGGTCCTTGTGAGGCTGGAGGGAATAAAGGGCTCTAGCCCCCATAGGGGTGCAGGTGGCCGATGACAGACTTGATGAAGTCGGTTGTGGTGCTGTAGCCGCCCATGTCTCGAGTCCGCACCTACAGCCACCACCGGCAACAGCCGTGGGGAAGAAAAGAGAGCCCATGAAGGCAGGGAAGTATGATGGAAATGGAATCCAAAGAGGGTGACAAGGCCAGAAAAAGAAGACAATGCAGCAGGATGCAAGGAGGTGGCCAGGTTTGGAAGAGCATGGACCCATCCATTCCTGTCTTTTGAGGGCCAGAGCCACTGTTCCGAGTTCTGCTGTGGCCTGGGCGAGGGTGGGAAGCTGAGCATGAGTGAGAAGGGAAATGCAGATTGGAGGCAGGAGAAGGATGCCTCGGGGGAAACAGAGAAGAGCAGGTGGAAGCACAGATGACTGGCAGGGGAATGGCAGATGAGGATGGGCTTCCAGGTGTGGAGGAAGTGGCACTGGCGCCTCATCCTGCCAGCTATCTCCCTCTGCTCCTCCATCTCCCCTTAGATAGGAAGCTGCAAGTTCTGCATTAAGATGGCCAATTAAAGTGCCAATGGATGGAGCAGGAAAGAGGGAATAGCAGATGGGAACTAGGAGGCAAAGGAGATCAAGAGGATGAAACAGCCAAGAGAAGGGAAATGAACAGCCCTGACAGGACTGGGGGAAAAGCAGAGAGCAGAGGCTCTTGGGACCTGGAGGGAAAGGAGGCCCCAACTCAGGTTCCCCAGAAAGTCCTGCCGAGACCCTAAACCCCACAGCCTTTCTAAACTCACCTTGCCGACTTTGATCACCTTCTTCACCGCATCTGCAATCGTGTTGGAATGATGCTCGAGACTGTCAATGTGGACAGAAAGAAACTGAGATTCCCCCCACATCATCCCCCTGATTTCCCCACCTGTGCTCCCCGAACAACAGCCAGCTGCCTCCCCAGGCCAACAGTGACCTACTTGAGATGCCGCAGCATGTTGGAAGCTGACAACAGCATGGCTGTGGGGTTGGCTATATTCCTGCCCACCGCCTGGGCAAATGGATGCCGGGCACCCTGTGGAAAGAGGAGTAGGCCAGAGTCACTGGGGGCAGACATTCTGCAGAAGCTGAGGTCAGGGAAGGGCATTAGGATGAAAGGTCAAGCCAGGAACACCGAGAAGATGTAAGGGTTGGGAGGACAGAAGCAGGCCAGGGTCACTTAGGAGGGGGATGCACTGGGGGAGAGCTATCAAGGGGACCTGAGGTCAGAAGAAGGGCACAGAGAGGGCTGAGGGAGGTGGTGACTTCACTCACCGTCTCAAAGACTGCATACTCTGCACTGTAGCTCTCACCAGGGACCACACCAGCTCCCCCAACCAGGCCAGCAGCCAGATTGTCAATAATGTTCCCATAGAGGTTGGGCATCACCAGCACATCAAACTGGTAAGGATTCTGCACCAGCTGGGGGCAAAATGTGGGCATGGAGGAGAGACGTAAATCCTACTCCCTGCCTTGCTCAGCACTGAGAATGGGGACACCGGGAGGGCCTCACCTGCATGCAGCAGTTGTCTATGATCATTGTCTCAAACTTGATCTTGGGGTACAGTTCAGCAACTTCCTCACAGCACTGCAGGAACAACCCATCCCCCAGCTTCCTGTCCACGGACCAAAGGGAACATTCAGCCGATAGAGTGCAGGGAGCTACCTTCCCATGAACCTACCCCATGCAAAGCCATGTCCCTCACATGATATTGGCCTTGTGGACAGCTGTGACCTTGCCCCGCCCCTTCTTAGTGGCATAGTCAAAGGCGAACTTTGCGATCCGCTGAGATTTGGTTCGAGTGACAATCTTCAGGCACTCAATCACGCCCCTCGCACTCTGCGTAAGAGAGAAGAAGCTGGGTGACACTAGAAAAAAGGGAAGAAGCTGTGCCTCTCTCCCCGCTTCACCCCTGCCCTCTGCGATTTCTAGGGCCTCACCTCGTGTTCCAGAGAGCTGTACTCCCCTTCTGTCTGCTCTCGAATAATCACCAAATCTAGATTGTTGTGTCGAGTCTTGTACCCAGGAAGTGACTTCACATGGACTACGTTGGCAAACAAGTCCAACTTACGCCTGGGGATGGGGCAGAGCCATGAGCACTGTGCCTGGTGCCCCAGTACCCCACTCACCCATGTCCTCCCACCACCTACCTCAGTCGCATATCGTAGGAGGCTAGTTCCCCCTTATACTCCATCGGGGTGTGGATCTTTCCTGCATAAACAAAGTTGAGGTGGGAGGGGGGGGTTAGGCACAGGCCAAGCCCAAGGGAATCCAGATTGGTGTCCAATCCCCTCAGTGATCCCCCCCAGACTCCCATCTCCCACTCCCAAATGAGTGACATTAAATGCCTCTGGAGGCACGGGGCAAAGGAAAATAATGTAGTTAAAACCAGAAACATTTTGCCCACTGTTTCATTTCTAGTCGCCAAATTTAATTTATGTTGAAACTTCAAAATGACCTAAAAGGACAGAAAAGAATTTTCTCATGTTATCAAAGAGCCTGGGTTTCAGGACTTCCCTGGTGGTCCAGTGGGTAAGACTCTGCACTCCCAATGCAGGGGGCCCAGGTTCGATCCCTGGTCGGGGAACTAGATCCCACATGCATGCCACAACTAAAGATCCCGTGTGCCGCACCTAAGACCCAGTGCGGCCAAAATAAATAAATAAATAAATAAATTCAAAAAAAAAAAAAAAAGAGCCTCGGTTTAATAGGTTGAGAAACAATCTAGGGGATCCATGACCTTTCTTGATGTTTCTATGTCTATGTATTTGACATCTTTTCAACCAGCACTTATTGAATATCATGTGTCAGGCACTAGGGATATCAACCAAAAAACACAACACAAATTCCTGTCCTCAAGGGGCAAACAATGCATTGGGGGAAGACAGTTAATATGAAGGAAATGATAAATACCATGGGAGAGGTATTACCAACATGCACAGGAGCACAGAGAAGAAATTCCCTCTGGTAACATCAGGAAGTATCATAGAACAGCTGGCACTTCAGCCAGACCTTAGGCTGAGTGAGTGTACTAGGTTGAATAGTGAACCACCCAAATGATATGCCCATGTCCTAACCCCCAGAACCTGTAAATGTGGCCTTATTTGGGAAAACAGTGTCTGCAGATATAATAAGTCAAGGATCTTGAGATGGAATCACATGGGATCCAAGTAGGTCCTAAACCCCATGACAAGTCCTTATACAAGAAAAGAAGGAGAAACAGATACAAAGACACAGAGTAGAGAAAACCATATCAAGACAGAGACAGAGACTGAACTGATGTATCCAGAAGCCAAGAAACACCGAGGAATGCCAGCAGCTGCCAGGAGCCACCAACAGCTGGAAGTGGCAAGGAAGGATTCTACCCAAGTCTTCAGAAGGAGCTCTGCCAACACCTTAATTTCAGGATTCTGACCTCCAGAACTGGGAGAGAATACATTTCTGTTATTTTAAGCACCAGGTTTGTGGTAATTTGATATGGCAGCCCTAGGAAACTAATACAGTGAGTGAGGAAGATTCTGACAGGTGGCACCAAAAGGAGAACACTGTGGCAGAAGAAACAGCAAAAGTCAAGACAGTACATGTATTTGGAAACTAATATAGTCTGGTGTGACCAAAGCACACAACAAGTGTTGTAGAAACAAAGGCAGAAAAGCTGAGGGTCAGCTCGTAAAGAGCTTACTCTCCTACACTAAGGCTGGGCCTGAAAGTCATGCTGGTTTTTCCAAGAAAAGAGCTGTAGAGGATGGACTATAGGGGCAGAACTGAAAGCCAAAAAATCTAATGAGGTGATTACAGTAGGAAAGCAGAAGGGAAGACAAAAGAAAAGCAGCTAGAAATGGCATTCTAGAAACACAGTTAACAAGACTTGGTGACCCATAATGTAGCCCCATGACAGACTACAAACTCATGGAGCCTTCCTGCATAGACAGCATGAGAGGCACACGATCTCTCAATTCCTGGGTTTCCAACTGGGTTCCCACTGATGGCCACCAATACAGTGGCGGGAGGTCGGGAGAGTTAATGTATTATGTGTGTGCTGAGGTAAGATTAATGAACATTTATTCGTTTGATTTTAACTAACATGGGTGGGGTAGCAAGGAGGCACGCATACCAATGATGGCCACCTTGTTCTCCTTCATGGAACTCAGCACCTGCTCCAGCTTCTCCTCAGATGCCATATTCTGCACCTCGCTCAGGTGATGCTCCTGGAACTCCACTGGGACAGAGGCAGCCTTCAGGGGCAGGTGTCAAAAATCGCAGGGTCAGAATCGTGTAAGTGCTTTCCAACCCAGGCCATCGCCCCTGCTGGCTGACTCCCCCAGGCCACTCACCTTGAACACCTCCTTGACAGCGTGCATCAGCTCAGGCCCCACGCCGTCTCCCGGTAGCATAGTCACGGGAAAGGCGCCCTCCACCCTCACGTCCTCGCCCTGCGAGCGGGGTCAGCAGAGCTAGAGCTGGGGCTGGGGCAGGAGTCCTGGGGTAGGCCAGGAGAGGAGGGGTCGGGGCGTGGGCCAGACCGGAGCCGGACTTGCACTTACCTGGCTCCGCGAGGCGGCTTGCGCTACGGCCGAGGTACACAGGCTCCTCCATGCCCCGGGATTCGGGGCGGCGACCAGCGTCTACGACAGTCACATAAACCTTTGAGGTCGGATCTGGGAGCCTCACGCCCCGAATACTTCGGTGAGCCCGGTACAAACCCGCCGCCCTCCCGCCTACCCCAGCATGCCCCGGGCCTCACTCGGGTCACCCAGCGGACACCCCCAAAGGCCGCCATGCTCTCCACAGGAAGTCGCGGCGAAATGACGCCGGAAGCCGGCCTGGCCCGGCTCCCCTATTTCCGGTCCGGCACTGATGCTGGGAGGTAAGCTCATTTTCTCCAGCCGAAACCTCCCATCCGTTCTTCTTCCTCCGCTTCTTCTTCCTCCGCGTTCATACATTTCTACTCACCACTTTCCTTGGACCGTGATGCTGCACAGCGCCGCTTTGTCTATTGCTTTATTTTCAGACACCGTATTTATGTTGAAACTTCAAAATAACATTAAAGGCGAATATGAGGTTTCATTTTATCAAACGAGTTTAATAACAAGTTGAAAAACAATACTGGAGAATCTGTCTTTTCTTAATGTTTATGTGTCCACGTATTTGTTATTCTTTTAATCAATTCTCACTGAACAATCGTATGTCCGACACTAAAGGCATTAATGAACGCCACACAATCCATGGGAGAAGATGTGTGTGTCTGGCTTCTTCAGTCTCCTAGCCTGCCCGGTTACTCTGTATTAATCAAGTTTCCTTGTTGTTTTTTCCTAGGTGGGCTTGTTCTTTGCTCTGACAGTTGTTCCCCTAATAGTGTATCCTAGGCCTGAACTCCTCTGAGCAGGATCGTAATTGGAGACAGAAATTACAAGCTTGTAAGTGTGACTAAAAGGGAATTTAAGACCTATTTTTAAATTTCCAGTCACATGCTGTTTACAAACGACATGGCTAAAACAGATGACACAAGCGGACCAGGGGCACGTGTTAAAAGTGCAGACTTATGAGTGTCACCCCAGACTTGCTGAATCCAAATCTCAGAATTGGGGCCCCAGAAAATACATGTCTAACAGGCTCCCCCAGGTGATACACACAAATTTGCGAACCACTAACTAGGTGATTTGTATACCTAATCCATCCAAAAAGATGCAGAGCATTCTCCCAGCCCAAGGGAAAGAATGCAGTGGTTCTAATCTTGGGGATCAAGCACAAGCTTTGTGTCTCTTTTCTGCATTCCTTTAGGAAGGACATTCTCTGCTGTTGGGTGAAAAGATTTAAATTAGATAATAAATGCGTAAGAAACCTGAACACATGAAAAGTGCTTGAACACCTGAAAAAGCTGTTAATATTGTAGCTAATTGAATAATTTATCAATGTATAATATTAATATGACATACTCCTCCATCTCCAGAATCAAAACCAGAAAACATTCACACCATCTTGCCTCCTTAGACTCCCTAGTTCCCGGTTCCACACTGCTATTGCCATCCACCACCATTTTTCTCTTCCAAATGTTACTCTTTCTTTTTTTTTTTTTTGTGGTACGCGGGCCTCTTACTGTTGCAGCCTCTCCCGTTGCGGAGCACAGGCTCCGGACGCTCAGGCTCAGTGGCCATAGCTCACGGGCCCAGCCACTCTGCGGCATGTGGTATCTTCCCGGACCGCGGCACGAACCCGTGTCCCCTGCATTGGCAGGCGGACTCTCAACCACTGCGCCACCAGGGAAGCCCCAAATACTACTCTTTCTAATGGTGAAAAAGTGGGAGATTTACACTTTTTTAAAACTATATTTTCTGTTACTTTAGGAAATTTATCGTGGGAAAGGAGAGTGCCGTCTTGGTCTAATTTCTGATAATCTATTTTTCATCCCAGAAAATATTAATTTTCTTGAGGGCAACTACAACATTATTTCCATCCCTAAATTCTGCACAGATCTGAGCCCAGCCTGACAAACAACATCCGCTAATTGGTATAACACCATGTGGTTGTCAAAAGGGTGAAAGGAATTGATGAAGGATGCCAGTTGATTCAGGCCAAGGAAATGTGACCATCACTGTCTAAGGCCATTGTGTTCTTCTGGTGAGTTTGGTGGGTTCTCCTGGACTTCGAGTCCCTATTAAGGCATCTCTCGCTGATACTACCTGAGAATAGGGAAGTTCAGTCAGGACCCTTGAAAAGTTCCTTAACCAGACTCTTGGGCAGGTGAGGGAGGTTAAACCATCTTGTCCCTTCTAACTGTTATGAAGCATATATGAGTGTTCAGTATGAGGCTGGATGAATTGAATGTCAGTTTCCTAGGCCTATAAATTGTCCAGAATGGGGTCCTAACCAGAGCTCCAGGTGTCCATGAATATAAACCAGTACCATGAACTTGGAAGGGGAAAATCAAAAAAAATCACATCTTTATTCTCACTAAACTCTAACTGAAATTTAGTATTTCCTATCATTATGAATGTAGAGTGAAATTGTAGTGCTACCTTTAGTACCCTTGACTTTGTCACTAATAGAAATTATAATTCATACCGCATTTCAGTTGTGGCAGATATCCTGAAATATCCTTTACTCTGACCTCTACTTTGACATTATTTGACCTAATGCTAGATTTTGTTATTTAATGCACTAATAAAGCAGCACAAATAGCACTGTATTACAAGCTTGCATTATTATTATCAGTGTAATGAGTTTTATTTGTAATCCTATTTGTTTTGGTTTGTGCATTTAGAATCCTTTCCTAAGAAGAGGGCAGGGGACGGAGCTCAGCAAGATGTAGCCTCAGCTGGAGTCTACCTCAGCTTGTTCTGGGGAGCCCTGGAGCAGGAATGATGTCTCAGGGTTGTCCCAATTTGAGGCAAGGCTTAGTAACTCTGCTTCAGCCCTGCATGGGCTAATCTTCCAGGCATCTCTGGCTCTTGGAGGCTCCATTGACCATGGACAACCCTCCCAGAGAAAGGGGTAGCTGTGAGCAGTTAATGACCAACACCAGAAGCAGTTGGACTGGATGCACCAGCTGGCAAAAAAGAACTGGAGAAGGCAGCTACTATTCTGTGGAGGTGAGAATGGCCATGGTGCACTGGGACCCAGTGAGGAGAGCAGGCATGTTTGAGGAGATGAGGTACAGTAAGGAGTAGTGAGTAAGATTGGTTCAAGTTCTAGAGCTGAGAGAAATGGAGAGGGATTAATGAGCAATACTAAGGACCTGTTGGAATGGTGACCATGAATTTACCATGATATGATTATGTGTGATTTCATGGAGAAAGCCAACACTTGGGTTCATCTAAAGATGTATTTTGCCAGAGAGAGGTACAAGAGAGTTGAGGGTGTTGGCAAAATGGGATCGGGAGGGAAGTGAAGACAGTGATCTAATGGATAGAAAGGTGAGAAAAGGATCAAAGATCCCAAAATAGAATAGTGCTCGTGGGAGTCACTGAGCAAGTAAGATGGAAGGAAAGGAGGGTGTCTCCACCAGCCGTTTTGGAAATGGAGCAGATGCCAGTGATAGAGGAGTCCCAGATGGGACTATGGGAGTGGATCCCAAAGAGAGCTCAAGGAGACCTCTGCAGAGAGGACTCAGACCTACATTGGGTCATCTGTGTCCCCGTGGGAGTCACCTAGGATAGTGTCATGGCAGAGGCAGGAGAAAGGCTAGGATCCAGGAGCCGGGGCCTGCTCTTGATGAACAGGAGAGACCAAGAGGTCAGAGATGGCAGAGAATGAGAAAGGTGATTTCAGTGGGAAGAGTCCCCAAAAAGTAGAACTTCTTTTTTCTTGTTAATTTTAGACTATTACCTTTTTTTTTTTTTAAGAAGATGTTGGGGGTAGGAGTTTATTTATTTATTTTTGCTGTGTTGGGTCTTTGTTTCTGTGCAAGGGCTTTCTCTAGTTGTGGCAAGCGGGGGCCGCTCTTCATCGCGGTGCGCAGGCCTCTCACTATCGCGGCCTCTCTTGTTGCAGAGCACAGGCTCCAGACGCGCAGGCTCAGTAGTTGTGGCTCACGGGCCTAGTTGCTCCGTGGCATGTGGGATCCTCCCAGACCAGGGCTCGAACCCGTGTCCCCTGCATTAGCAGGCAGATTCTCAACCACTGAGCCACCAGGGAAGCCCCTCTTGTTAATTTTAATATAAAATTTTGCTTGAGTATTTTTAATTGGACAGTAGGTAAATGATTACATTCCTTTTTTAAAAATTTATAAATTATAAATAAGGCCAAAGTTTCTTACCACCCCAGCCACAGCCCCAATCCTTTTGCCCTGTCCCTATAGGCAGCTAGCTGTCTCCCCCGAAACGTTTTCCATATGCAAGCACACCCCCTTACGCACACGGAATAATATATAGTATTGTTTTTAGTGTATGGGTGTGTGCTTCAGAATAAATGGTTTCATACTCTATATACTTACTGTCTTATAATTTACGTTTTTCCCTCAGCACCATGTCTTAGAGATCTAAGATACCATGTTTTAGAAAATGAGCAGACTTATTGTTTTATTTTGCTACATAGTATTATATAATGTGAATTTACTAAATTTATTGAGGTTTTCTCACGTCAATGGATTCTTAGGTGATTTCTAGTCTGGGCTATGACCAGCGATGTTGCTGTGTACATTCGTGTACAATTTTTTTTGTACACATGATAAATGTTACAAAAGTGCATCCAAAACACCTGTATATGTTTCTGTTATGAATGTGATCTGCTGCAATAAACAGAAAACTCATTAAACAAATAAGGGTTGTTGGGTTTTTTCACTTCTTTTCTGAAGGTAAGGAGTTACTGGGATTGGTTTAGTTGTGTGGTGATGCACCCTGAGATCCAGGCTCTCGAAATTTTCACTCTGCCAGCCTTAGTGTATTGTCTAGTATCCTCATCCTTGGTGCCTCATACTCACCGTATATGGTTGCTGTGGCTCTGGACAA